TCGGGGAGACATTTGGTGACCTCTGTCCAGCTGGTTATTTCTGCCCTGAGGGAACCGCATATTTCAGCCACCATCCCTGCCCTAATGGTACCTACAGCAGCGTCTCGGGAGGAAAGGAGGAGGCTGACTGTCTCCTTTGTCCTCCTGGTATGGTATGCAGTGGGGCAGCACTAACGACACCTACAGGAAAGTGTGCACCAGGATACTATTGCATAGGGGGCAGCACCAATTCAAGACCTGATAATGGCACTACAGGGGATGTGTGCAAGATGGGCCACTATTGTCCTGAAGGCTCAGGTGAGTCTGATTCTTGGGAGCAGTTACTAGGCAATTCTGTTTAAAGTCAACACTTATATGTGTGTGTGTGTGTGTGTGTGTGTTGATATATATATATATATATATATATATATATATATATATATATATATATATATATATATATTCATTCCACCAAGTGCTGTCATGTGGGGGTTGAAAAACTCCAATGAAGAGCTGGAAGGAAAAACTTTTAAGAATTATTAACAGAAGTGAAAATGGAACATTGGGGGCTTTGGTGTATGTTAAGCATTAGAACTATGTCTGCATAATTAAGTTTCATTAGGACAGCAAATTCAGTCAAATAATTCCAATAATTATGTCACTGCCATGTATCCAGCTTGCTTCATGCCATTAATAGTAATTGCTTTGTATATTATTTAAGTAACCACCTAAATAGGCTCAATTTCTGTATAATATAAATAAAATTCAGCTATATCTCTGCATCTAGTACCCCCCCCTCAAAAAAAAAAGTCCTAGCAATACCATATAATTTCAGCAAAACCCCAGCACTAATTCTCCTTACAATAATATTATGATTCCAGCCACCTCCCAGCAGTGTCCCCCAGGGTCATTCTCCAACGTGACTGGTCTGTCCACCTGCTGGCCTTGTCCTGCTGGCTATTACTGTGAGCTGGACACTGGGGTGGAGGAATATACTGTCCCCAGGGTCTGTCTCCCTGGACATTACTGTCCTGAGGGTAGCGCTGTGGACATGCCAAAATGTCCTCCTGGGACTTATAGTGGAAGTCAGGGTAAGTTATAGATCATATGTTAAAAGTCTTGTTTGTGACAAGTATAGGTATTCTCATTGTTTGAAGGCATTGTGTAGTATACTAATAGTTTAGAAAATAAAAGGAGTGACATTTGGCTATGACATAAATTTTGTAATTCACACAAACTAGAGGTCATGATGTAGCAAAGTTAAGTGTGAGATAATACACTGTCACCTGAGCGATATATGCCATAACACCTCGAGCGTCAGCGAGAGGTGTTCATGGCATATATCGCGAGAGGGTGACAGTGTATTATTTGACATACATACCGAGAAAAAATACAGTCATTTCATCCTAAAACACCCCTAAAACTGAATAAAGTGACCCTATATCACGCTCTAGAGATGTTATACAGAATAAACTCGTCCACGTGCGCTGGTCACCTCCCGCCAAATTCTTACGTAATGTCTGACCAATTTGGTCAATTTTTGCTAAATACTTGTCGTGGACATTCAACTGTCTTGAGAAGTATTTAATGAACCGTCGACACTGACCATGCACGTCTCAGCTGAGCCACACCTAGCTCGGACTGCTGCGGAAACAAGGTCCCAAGGCAAAACCTCTACTTTTTAGTGACATTTCTGATAAAAAAGGAGCGTCGGACCGAAATATAGTCAAACTAATTTTTCACAAGTGCAAAGGAGAAAGAAATTTACTTTTTGGTGATATTTCTGACAACGAGGCAGTTTCGGAATATATTCAAAATCGACGGATGTTTATTACAAGTTCACGGGAGTAATAATTCTAGTTTTTTCTTATTATTTCTGACGACGAGGCGGTTACGGAATATAGTCAAAATCAAACGGATGTTTATTTCAAGTCCACAGGAGTAATAATTCTACGTTTTGGTGACATTTTATTACTACGAGGCGGTTTCGGAATATACATGTGCTGGTTTTCAGAGCATTCATGTGCTACATGTAATTACAAGTTCAAAGGGGGAATACATTTGATTTTTACCGATATATCTCATAAAGAGGAAGAATGAACAGCTTAAAAACAAAAGGTAAATAACACAACCCTCGTTAAAAAGTTATAGATTTACAAATA